GTGCTCGATTCTCAATAAGAAACTTGAAATAATTATCTTTCTATTTAAAAAAAATTTATATAAGCTTTTAACATTCTCTAGAAGAAACATTAAATTTTTTCAAGAACTTAAAAACTAGAACAAAATTTATGTCTCTTCTAGAGTATGTTTAAAGCAAATACATATTGTTAAATATGAAAGAGTATGTATAAAAACAACAGAGGTTGGGTAGCAAAGATCGCAGGAGCGGAGCATCCTAGTAACATATATAAAAATGGTATTTAATATTATTTTTGTTTAGAATTATCAAAATTTATATAAATTTCAAATTTTATCATATAATATGTGTAATATCCATAAATTTGATAGTTTTGTAGACTGTATGGTAGATGAGTAATCACTTTTCATACCATATATGCATGATAAATTTGTATTAATCACTTTTAATCCAAATACAGTTTTTGTCTTTATTTTGGTACCGGAATTATCCAAAAACTTGAAATAATATTTAATATATATAAAGAAATTCAGTGAATCACTTTTTTATAATTTAAAAAAGAACTAATTTGTATAGTTGTTTTGATAATAGTCCTCACATAAAAAAAAGAATTAATGCATCACCTAAAATTTCAGATTCAATGGATTATAGCTTATGAGAACAGATAATTCCATTATTATTTTTTTTCCTACGAATAATTATTTTTTATAACAATAAAAATTTACATAAGGGAATAGCAGTGATCCTATTATTTGTGTTTAATTAGAACACTTCTTGACATATATATGGATATGTAAATACATTAAATACAATTTTTTTTTTAATTAGTTTTATTATTTAAGGCATTAAAAACAATTAATAAAACAAAACATAAAGCATAAAGCAACTAGTTATTAGATAACTAACAAGCAATTTAAATATAATCAGATTCAGGCGATTCCACGCAATTTAAAATTCAATGCGACTACGACTGTATTCCTTACAACTCTTACAAACCATCTCCCGACGATAACTTCCTAATATATTGTAGACAAACAAATTGCTACTATAGCTACTTCTAATCCAGTTTTGTATACAGTTTCATAGATGTTTTGTTTTGAAATCTTTTGATTTAAAAATAAATCTAAAGAAATATGTTTGACGTATTTATATATATTTATCTTTCTATAAAGTTATATTGAATATTTATTTTCAAAAAATTTACGAGAGAATGCTTCGTCCAAAAATTGAGGAACTTGTGGTTTAATATTTGTTAAAAATAAACCTTTTTAAGACTGTTTTGTCTTAATTGTGTTTTTGTGTTTCAAAAAACTTTAAAGATTTTAAAATGTACTTAATGGCAATTCTTTAATATAACGTGTAAAAAAATATTGAGACCAAGCGGAAAATTCAGTTATTGATATTGTTTCCTGTACTTAAAAACTTTTTGATGATCTTCGAATTTATCTTAAAATTTTAATAAGTTATTTTTTTATTTCTGTAGATAAGTATTTGGTTAGTTTTGAAACATCATTTGTAAAGGAGTTTATAGCGCTAATGTATTATATTCTTATTATATATACATTTCAGAAGTAAAGTGTTTTCTCCGCCTTGTTAGAGGATTTATTTATATATAACAATAATGGTAATGATTTTGACTATACATAAAGACAATGGTTTTCACTAAAAATAGTAATGGAAAAGCACATCACAATAAATATAGTAGTTGATTGCGTGTTTCTGCTGTTGTTAGTTTATAGGCTTGTTCTCAGAAAAGTACAGGGTTGTTAATTTCTAAGAAAAAACTAAAGAATATTTTAATTCTAAGTAATGTAGCTTTGTGCAGTATTTGACATTTTTAGCTAAAAAATGACTGTGTCAATATTTCGCAATTCACAAAATTTTATGCCTGGCACTTCTTTACGGACTAATAAGCCAACGAGTTATTTCGATAAAACCACTGATAGTAGATATCTAGCAATACTTGAAATGGCTGAAATTGTTGCATATTATTACAATTTCAAGGGTTAATTTTAATTTTTTAATAATTGTGACTCATACGCTATGTATACTTATTTTCTGAAAACAATTTAATTTCATTAATCCTAATACTGTTATGTGACCAGGAAGAGAATAGCAATAGTATCTATAATGCGTTGGGCTTCACTTGCAGAGGGATGCCAAATGGTACCTAAGACAAGTATTTATTTACATATTATATTAATATATATTTTTGGGAGTTGCCAAAAAGTGATAGTGCTTACGACAGTAGCTATGCTCACTACGTTATTTTACTAATATGACGAGTAAAAAATATTTGAATACTTGTTAAATTTTACATAAATGATTTTTCGTCATGATTCCTTGAAGTTCATAAATTTTCGGAGACTTAAAAAATTTTTTTTGTATGTTTTTATAAGAAATGTTTGAAAACTTCAATATATCATTACTGCAAAGACCATGTATATGTTAGCTGCCACTTGAAAGAAACTAGAATAACGTTATTAATACACAAAGGTTGTTTAAATGCCAGTCACGCACGCATACATAAATAATATTAGCGGATTTTATGCTTGCCAAATGCATAATGAAAATATCTGATGGCACCGAAATTCGTTTCAATCCAATTGCACTGCACCGCAGTACACCAGAGCACACCACAGTAACTCCATCAGGCGATGCGAGTGTACACACAGATACATTAATCTGCATGTGCAAAATGATCATTCAAGTATAAATTATATTGGCACACGACTACATTCGCAAATTTGGTTACAAAGCTTAAAACATAAATTTTAATGCACTTAACCGGATATGCCATATTTCAGGTATGTTCAATGCTACCCTCAGTTGCACGTGAGAATGTGGGCATATGTGCTCTTTTGCATTGCCAAGCTTTATGAAGAACATTAAACATAAACATTTTTTATTTTCAATATTTCCGGGTTTATTTGGTTTTTGGTAAAAATATGAATTCTTAGCAAAAATATATACTTTGAAATTTTGTGTATCTGTAGATAAAACAGACATGATAAAAATTTTTACATTAAAACTGATAAAGGATATACTCGTAAAGTAAGGCAGCCTTAGTTTGAGAAACAGGATGTATCTTGTGCAATAGTTTTATGGTTGCCAGCATCATTAGTATCTTTGAATTTAAAATTGACGTATAAAAATTTATAGTTTGCTCATACAAGCTGTTTGTTACACGTTTATATGTTTGTTATTGTGAATATGAGCAGTAATTTAATTTTAATGCTTTTGCGTATGGTTCATTAATTTTATAAAACCTTAAAAGTAGCAAATTTGCAATCGATTTCCCTATTGATATGCATTGCTCATAAAATACAAATTGTTTTTTATAGCTTCATTAAAGTATGTAGAGAGAGAAATGTATGCAAGCTTCTGAAAAATTGCAAATGTTTAGATATCCTCAAACCTATACAATACTTACGCTACAAATATTGGTTACTGCTTACCTGTCCATGATATTTGGATTACCATGTGTCCGCCAAAAGTTGACCGATTGTGTAGATGATTGAGATTGTGTGATACGTTGACTACAAGGTGATTTGATGCGCACGGAAGCTGATGTGCGGCGTGTCTTTCCACTATTTCGATGTAGTAATGATCTTTGTAGTGGTTGATGCTGCTGCTGCTGCTGTTGCTGTATGTCGCAATCAATGTTGCTAGTTGTACTATTAAAATTGCGATTTGAGTCGCTGACACAGTACTTATTGTAACTGTTGCTATTGAAGCTGCTGTGCATTTGTAATTGCTGCTGACTATGTTGTGGTCTTATAGTGAAACGACCACCCAGTCTGTAAAAATGCAAGAGAACAAAAAAGTATTGTTAAGATACATATACAATCAGAAAGTATCACAATTTGGTCAAAATCTTACATTGTTGATTTTTATTCTTTGTTCATTTTATTCTGGTTTTGTTTCTGAATTTGCAATTTCTTTGATGACTTTTAAATGGGAACCACAATTTAAACAATTCATTCAATAAAAAAATCTTGAATGCAAATGCAGAAGTGGTTTTTTTTACTGATTTTCTGAGATGTGTTTGTAAGTACAATGTAGCATATATACTGCTCTATATAAACAAACTTTTTGTAAGAAGAAATTGATATAATTTTGTAAGCTTTGTATTTGGATGTGTGGTCTGAATCGTACTTTCCGTTGGGGTCCATAGAACTTTTTACGCTAAGCCTAAATTTCACTATGCTATATATAGTATATTTAAAGTGGGGTGCAGACTATCATACTGGTGTGTCATACGAGTTGCGCTCTCTCTTGCTCAAATTTCTTCTAGCGACCGAATTTGAACAGGTATGACACACAAGAGTAGGCAAAATTTTTGATGAGTGCTTTTGCGGGTAATGTTGTGAAAATTTGTGTGTTTAAAATAAAATTTTAAAATTGAAAAAATTGATAGTTAACGTATAGGTTGTGCTTTGCTTATAATTGATTATAATTTTGTATATTTTATATATGCCGCGTTTTTTTTTTTTTGCGATCTTTATATTCACATTTTTGGACATCCCACAAACAATGATTGCTTTTGTTAACATTCGATGAAAGCATCTCAAAATGCTTTATCTGCATCCATATTCATATTTTTTTAGGTTTATTGGTCATTAAGCACAGTAGTTAAAATGAAAAGATCAGTAAAGGACCGTAGTTAATTTCATTCACTACCTGTAAGTCCTAAAAATTTCTAAATACATAAAATATTATATAATGCATAAGAATGATATCTCTTCTGGTTTTCAGAAAATTTGAAATTTCCAAATTTCTGTTAGTTTAAGGTATTAACATTTAAAATTCTTTATTTTATAAAAAGTTTTAACAAAGAAAGTATATTTAGAATAACAAGTATTATATCTTATATTTGGTTATTAATAATTGTATTACGACAATTTTAATTTTTTTATTACTGGCTTAGATCATAAATTTAAACAGTATATATATGTGTTTTTAAAAAAATTTACTTAAAATCTCGTTTATAATGAATAAATAATAATAAATATTTAATAAATTTAAATAAATATTTAAATTTACATATATAATGTATTAAATTTTTTATAAGAATTTTATGTAAAAATTTATATTTTTTTAACTAAGATACAATTAAATATTTAACATAAATTTATAAGTGTAATTTTAATAGTAATAAATAATAATAATAATAAATACATTAATAATAAAAAAACATATTAAATTTATATAAAAATTTCACATATATTACCTGCTTACAATAAATTCGCAAGGCAAAAATGCTCTTGTATGATGTATGAATCGTTAGGGGTGACAGACTATCATACACAACGCGTATGCGAGAGCTGTTCACCAAAATTTTGGTGAGCACGCCAACACGTTGGTAAAGGTGGCAGACTATCATACCTGTGTGTCATACGACATTTTTCTCTCTCGTATGACATACCAGTATGATAGTCTGCACCCCACTTAAAGTTTAAGTTAAAACCAAAAAAATAAAGTATACTTTTAAGTGAATATTCACTTGTTACATAAAATGACATAGGGATATTAGTAGGATTCTTTTTTAATTACCTTGAACACATTATATAAGCGTAATTTCTTCTTTCTGTTAAACTCAATGAAGTGGAGTAGTGTTACTTGCATTTTTTTGTCAATTTTTTGTGACTAAGATAGGTAAAAATAAATAAACAAATACTGATGTCACACAGATATTGCAATTGTTCGGATTACACTTTTTGATTATTTGGAACCGTTCGTCTTCTATATTCTAGTTGATGTTTGAGTCAACTAACTCGACCTTTTTTTCAGTTTTTTATTTTGTCCGAAAAGCTGTTGAACCAAATTTGAGATGAAGAAAAAAATTACTTGTGGTGGCACTATATAACAGAATAATTATAACAAAACAACAAAAAAAAACGTGGAAATTATAACCCAAAAAGGCTCGCCGTTACTCGTTAACGGAAGGAACCAAAAGACAGAAGAAGTTGAGTTTCAACAGCTGGTCCTATGTATAGCATTATTCAATTCTAGGAGGTGCTTGTAGATCTTCGAAATAAAAAAAGTTTTGGGGCCGGAATATAATAATATTGACTAAAGAGCACTGTATCAATAATTTGTTCACAAAAACTTTTAATTAAAAACACTCTTAACTCATTATAGTTTAGTTCGATTTAAATTTTTTTATTTGCTAGTTAATATGTTTTCTTTCTGTAAGTCAAATACTTAATTTAACTTAGGCTTCAATAATTTTGCGTAACATTAAAAGACGTTGTTTGTACGTATATATTAAATGATAATTTGTTTGAAGTCAATATATTTTTGTATAAAATACAAATATAAATGAAATAATATAACATTTTTATTTTTTTATTTATCAAAATGGGATACACAATACCCATTTATTAACATGGGAAGTACAGATAAATGCGAACTGCACAAAAAAATTAGTTTGTCACAAAAGTGGTTATTAAGCGAACTTTAAATCTCTTTTATTTATTAATTTAAATACATCATTTTACATCAAATTTAAATTGTGTCTATTTTTTTTAAATACTGAAGTTTGTCCTCAAAATTTTGATTGCCTACCATAAATGGAATTTATTATGTTTTCTAGAAGATTTTTACGAGTAGTGAATGTCTTGCCTTAAATAGGTGTAACAATATTTAACGAGTTGGTAAATATATATTCCATTGAAACGGTAACTAATGTTAATAATCTGCATGTATCTAAGCTTAACTAAAAAATTTAATGACAAATTTTGACAAGACAGCTAGTTCCATGAGTATCGAACTGCTAACGAACGAAT